GTAATTTGTGCACTACAGACCCAAAGTTTGGCCAATTTACACACAATTTTTTACAATATACTAAAATTAGTATAACCTTACGTGTGTCAAGTTTTCTTGAAATCGATTCAGTTTTCCATATAGCTCCTACATATACATTTCGTCCGATTTTAAGTAAATGGTGAATTAAAGACCCACAGCTAGTCCGATTGACACAACGTACTGAAATAAATATAAATTAATTTCGGGCAAGTTTCCTTAAAAGCGGTTCTGATTTAGATATAGCATAGCTTCCATATAAAATTTCGACCTATTCATGTTAACAAAATTTAGCATAGGTTGCAGAATGGTATGTGTAGGGATTGATGATAGTCGGTTTACATTTAAATAAAGATCACATTTCTACGTTTATTCAATTTCATGTCAATGTTTCTTCGAAAAGGCGACGTCTGTTAGGATACATAGTATGTAGCATATACCCAAAGTGGTGAAGGGTATCATATAGTAGTCGGCCCAGTGCGACTTTACTACTTTCCTTACTGGTTTTTACATAGGAAAAATAACATACAGGGTTGCCCATATTCGACGGACCCATCTGGCAACGCCATAACTTTTGACAGATATGACACATCGCTTAATAACATACCGCGTTTGAAGCGTCAGTCCAAGCAGATTTTTACCATGAACCAATACACGCCACGTGAGCGCTCTGAAATAGTTGAAATTTAAATTCAACAGAAGAAGTCAATTGTGAAAACTCAACGTGTTTTTAAAACATTAAAAAATGTTTGAAGTGCGCCTTCTAAGAACACCATTAAGCGTTTATACGAAAAATTTTCGACTGGTAAGGCTCTTTCTAATCCGAAGAGGCCATATAAAAGTCGACCAAGGCAATCGGCCGAGAATATCGCTGCCGTACGAGCCAATGTTGAGAGGTCCCCAAGAACACCCAAAAACGCGGTTCTCAGCAGTTGGACATTGCTCGGCCCACTTTACAACGGATTATTCGCATTGATTTGCACTTGTTCCCGTACAAAATTCAATTGACGCAAAGAATGTTGCCTTCGGACAAGCCTCGTCGATTGGAATGGGCAATTTTGGAGCAAAATTATCATGTCCGATGAAGCCAATTTCACATTGAATGGGACCGTAAATAAGCAAAATTGCCGTTTTTATGCCACTGAAAATTCTCAGGAGATTCAAGAAGTGCCTCTTCATGATGAAAAAGTCACAGTTTGGTGAGGCGTAAGTGCAAAAACGGTCATTAGGCCGTTTTTCTTCCAAAATGAAAATGGCCACGCTGTTACCATCAATCAGGAGCGTTATCGCGACATGATGACCAATTTTGTGATGCCAATTATTCGTCGAAAGCGTATGAGGCAGTTCTGGTTTCAACAGGACGGCGCTCCACCGCACACAAGTCGCAAAAAATCGATTTTCTGAAGAATTTGTTTCGGGCCGTTTGATGTCGAAAAGTGGTGATTTGGACTGGCCACCGCGTTCGCCCGATTTGACGCCGCCCGACTTCTTCTTTTGGGGATATTTGAAGTCAAAGGTTTACGTTTACAAGCCAAGGACCGTAGAAGAGCTCAAGGACAACATTCGTGGAGAAATAGCCGCTATTCCGGCCGAAATGTTGGCAAAAACGATGAAAAATGCAGCAAAAAGGGCACAATACGTCATCAAAGCCAGAGGCGGCCATTTGAGAGATATCATATTCAAAAATTGATTTTTTCTTTGATTTAAAAAAAAAACATGGGTCCGTCGAATATGGGCAACCCTGTATCTAAGTCATAGACTTTTACTGAAAGTCGACCGAATATAATACCCCAATGATTTCATATGACTTCTTGAATAGAATATTTGTAATGTTAATATCAATATCATTTGTACCATATATCCTTTCATATATTTTTTTCTTACAAAACCCTCCCGCAACAATACATACACACATACTAAATATTCTATACATTTATTTTATTTCTTCAATTTTCTTTATCTTCAAGGCACATTACCACAAACACAATAAAAGAAAACAATAAACAAACATTTTTCATATATCAAATTTTCTGTACCAAAAATTTCCCAACCACAAACCACAAAAAAAAAAAGAATTCTCAACAACAACAAAAACGAATAAATAAAATATAAAATTATTATTATATTTATTTCTATAAATATTAACAATAAAATAATATAAAGAAACAAATCGTTTATATACCAAAAAAAGAAAAACAATACATACTTTCATACACAAATATAATAATAATAAAATAATAAAAAATAATTATTGTAATTATCATCATAATGATGATAAAAACGGCAGATATGTGAAGATGACGTTGCTGCGATATAATAAAATTAAAAAAAAAATATGTGCAACAAAGTAAAAAAATAAATAAATACAAAAAAAAAATAATGAATGAAATAACAAACGAATAAATATATATACAAAATAAAATAACAAAAAAAAAACACAGACATTTTATTTATGGACTTTGAGGGCTAAGCAGAACTGTAATTGTGGATCAAGGCCCATATAAGGTGGGCTAAGAAAAACTGGGGTCTCTATTAAGTTTGCCTTTTTTTGAAAATACGAATACATTTCCAAAATCTAGACTTCTCAGCTTGTATATGACATAAATTTTATTACATTATCCCAAAAAGTTAACTTCTATGACCTTCAGGAGTAAATATCTATGCCATAGAATGCAAAATTTGCCATTTTTATTCCATGATCAGAACCGTTCAAAATTTCGTTGTGTTCGAGTGATTGCTGTGGTCTATAGAGCGACCAGAAAAACAGACACAGTAAAGATAACCGATCCTTACCAAAAACAACAGGGGTCTTCTTTGAGCCGCACTGAATATACATTTAAATTTTCGTGAATCGTACACTCTCCATAAGTGTGACCTGTACTGTGTTTACAATTTATAATGGACAGACGGATGAACGGACACAAATGTCTAGATCGACTCAGCTCATGTTAAGATATGGCAATCGGTATACTAAAAGTTGGGTCTTGGACCAATTTTTGTGTTGGCTATACATTTTTGTATATAGATTTTTCTACCCAATGAGTATTCAAAATATTTAATTACAGGCAATTATATGGGGACCAGCATCAAAAGTGGACCAATATTACTTATTTTCCATCATTCTTTAATAGTACCTTACCTGTGCGCCATTTGTTACGAAATCCTCCAGGCAGCGTTAATTGGAATAGTCGACATCTTGTGCTCTCTGGGTCCAGTTTTCAACCATTCAGCTCTTAACAACTCAGGACGTATGCGTCACGTTGGGCGCCATCTTATGCAAGATCCTCTATGCGGATCAAAATCCGACGTCTCTGGTTCTGATTTTCAACCATTGGGCACCATCTGTTACGAAATCCTCTTGGCAGCGTTAATTGGAATCATCGACATCTTGTGGTCTCTGGGTCTAGTTTTCAACCATTCATCACGCAACAGCTCAGGACGTACGCGCCACGTAGGGAGCCATATATTACATGATTCTCTATGCGGATTGATTTCAATAAATCATCCGCCATTTTGCGGTCTCTGAGTTTGGTTTACAACCGTTGACTACTCACGAACAACACGTTGGGCGCCACCTGTTACGAGATCCTGTTGGCGGCGTTAATTGAAATCATCCGCCAGCTTACAGTCTCTGGTTCGCATTTTCAACCATTCACTACTCAACATGCCACGTTGGGCGCTATCTGTTACGATATGCTGTAGGTGGCGTTAAATCAGTAAGCGGTCTATGCGGATTGGTTTCAATAAATCATCCGTCAGTTAGCGATCTCTAAGTTTGGGTTTCAACTACGAACATGCCACAATTTTGAACAGTTAGCGGTCTCTAAGTTTGGGTTTCAACTACGAACATGCCACATTGGTCGCCATTGGTTACGAGATCCTGCTGGCGGCGTTAATTGAAACCATCCAGTCAGCTTGCAGTCTCTGGTTCTGATTTTCATCCATACTCAATAAGCCACAGGACGAGCATGCCACGTTGGGCGCCATCTGTTACGAGATTCTGATTTTCAATCATACTCAATAAGCCACAGGACGAACATGCCACGTTGGGCGCCATCTGTTACGATATTCTGTAGGCGTTGTTAAGTGAGATTATCCGTCAGTTTGTGGTCTCAGGGTCTATTTTTCAACCATTCACAACTCAAAAACTCAGGACGTATATGCCTCGTTGGGCGCCATCTATGACATGATCCTCTAGGCGGATTGATTTCAATAAATCATCCGTTACTTTGCCGTCTCTGAGTTTGGTTTTCAATCGTTGACTACTCACGAACATGCCACGTTGGGCGCCACCTTTTACGAGATCATGTAGTCTGCGCTAATTGAAATTATCCGCCAGCTTGCCGTCTCATTTTCTGATTTTCAATTATTCACTACTCAACATGACACATTGGGCGCCATTTGTTACGAGATTCTGTAGGCGGTGTTAAATGGGATCATCCGGCAGCTTGCGGCTTCTATGTCTGGTTCTCAATCATTTTCTACACTGCACCATAGGACGACTATGCCAAATCGCAATTTTATAGAAAGAGTTGTTAGTCAATAACAACCAACTCGATCGAAAATGTGCGCAAATTTTTTTGCATTACCGTTATATCAGGGCTATACCGATGTTCAATACTGAACATCCTAGCAATGTATACACTCCATATTCTGATGGAGGTTATAAAAATATCCTTCTTCTCGAAGAAGATAAAAATACATTTATGGAGTCCTGAAAGAAACCTGTTTTCTGTAGATAGGTTTTTAGAAAACCAAAAGTTCCGGATCTTTAATACAACTAATAATAAGATATGATATGTACAATTTGGTAGACCTCCGCAAACCGGAGGCTGAGAGTATATATCGACAGACACTTTTTTATTGTTTAATCTTCATTTTCAAATTTAAATTTATTATTTTTAATACTGTAAACTTTTAATACACACACTGTAATGATAGCAAGTTTTATAGGAAAAACTATTACAATTTCCAGTCCCACTTTATACATCTGGAACGACATCATATAAAATATCAAACTCAGCAATTGCCTCTTTTGCACCCGCAGCCACAATACTAACATCGGCACATGATTTGAATGTCTCTTGGTTGCCACAGCCAATGGCACCCGTTCCATCTTCACAAGTACCCCAATTATTACCGGCCGTGTAGGTCCACCTCAGAACACAATGTTTGCAACTAAGGCCCGGTGGCAATACCACAGTCGTTTCAATATCACCCAGTGTTTGGCCAATATAAAATTTATCACTGCCATCAGCAAATTTCAACGGATATTTGGCAAAACATTCTTCCGATTCCTTGCCGAATTCATCCAAATTGCACAGATGATAGGTAATATGACCCATATGATTGGCCGTGATTTTGAAACCAATGACAGCGGTGTAGGTATCCACAAATGATTTGACAATGACACCACTACCACCATATTTGCCGCCCAGTTCATTGTCTCGCGGCACAGGATCCGCATAGTTATCACCACACAAGCCACATTTGCCGCCATTTGTATAATAATGAACCTGATAATCAAATCAAAAATTGCGATTAGGAAAAAAAGTATTCCCCACATTCCTTTTTCAAACTTACCCCAAATCCACCACAATAATTGGCATTATCATTGTAATTAATCGGAGCTGTTGAATCAAAACGCCAGCGTGATGATCTGCCAGGTGGATTCAGCATCATACCATGACCCCATGAGTAATCCACAAGGGTGGCCAGTATGACCAGGAAAACAAATGATTGCACCACCAAACACTTCATATCCAATTTGATATTTTTTTCTCTTTACTTTCTTCTTTTTACTCGGTCTGCGTTCGTTGCACGAAATTGCGAATGATAAGCCTGCACAGACTTGCCCATTCTTTTATATATGGGAGTACTAACCTATAGTGATTTTTCCATATTTCCTTTATCAGAAACACATAAAAAAAGAAACGCATAAGTATTTACATGTGTATTAATGGGACATTAGGTCGTATCGCATTGAAAGAAAAAAATATAATTTTTATTAGAAAAAAAAACATTTTTTCTAATAACAGATTTCGTTTAACTTGGCGTATGAAAACCAAACCCAGAGACCGCAAACTGCCGGATGATCCCACAGATGACGCCCAACGTGGCATGTTCGTCCTGCAGTATTGAGTAGTGAATGGTTGCAAATCAGACCCAGAGACCCCAAGTTGCCGGATGATCCCTGTTAACGTCACCTACAGGATCTTTTAACAAATGGCGCCCAACATGGCATGTTCGTCCTGAATTGTGGTTTAAAACCAAACCCAGATTTCATAAACTGTCGGATGATTTCAATTAACACCGTATACAGGATTTCGTAATAGATGGCGTCCAACGTGGCATGTTCATTCTGAGTTTGTGAGTACTCAATGGTTGAAAACAAAACCCAGAGACCGGATGATTTCAATAAACTCCACATAGAGGATCTCATAACAGATGGCGCCCGATGTAGCTTATTCCTCCTGAGATGTTGAGTAATCAATGGTTGAACACAAGATCCAGATACCACAAGCTGTCGGATGATCCCACTTAAAGTCATCTGAGTTGATGAAAATGAGAAAATGAAACTTACGACTTCCATCTACAGATAGAATATTTTCTGAAGGACTCTGCTTTGTTGGAGCAACATTTAAAGGCACATAATGATAGTAGAATCTCTATCTTGTATTTCTTTTACGTCCCAATATACCACCATTATGAAATACACATATTAATGAGTCGATTAAAGGATGTTTTTCCTAAATGGCGCCCAACTTAATGGTTAGCAACAATGTGCAAATCATTAATTATAGGCCTTTGCCAAAAAGTTGAATCCTTTAAGAAAAATGTTCAAAAATATTAAGGAAGTGGACGTACATGCCCATACCCTGTCTACCCGCTGAGAAACAATAAAATCCACAGGGATGAATATTATGTAAATCAATTGATACGTGATTGACAGGACATGAGAGTGTGTGCTCGCAAGTTGATGTGGAGAGAAAATTGAAAAAAAAATGATGTAAAGGACAGGGTGGATAGATTCGTGCTATTAATGTTGGTAAGTAGTGGTTAGAATAAAACAACAAAAATACATTTGAAGAAGAGAAATATGGAATTTAATGGCTCAGTGATGTTTTGACGAATCTCATACTGAATAAAGCCTGTAAATATATTAAACAAGTATATCCATTATGCAATACGGAAGACGGAAAGACCTTATAGATGGTCGAACGGTGTTCATATGGAGGACCTTCTTATGGGGACTTATCATAGAAAAAACCAATAGGTCTAATAGAAATGACCTAAAGTTCTTTGGTTGGTTATCTATAAAAAGATATTTGTGTTTTCTAAATACCTACCTGTTCTGTATTTGGGCACGTTTCGACCGAATTAGTTAGTTTTTTTAGTTATAATTGACTAGCAATTCTTTCTAACAAATTGCGCCGAACTTGGCTTGTTCGTCCTGAGGTGTTGAAACTCAGAACGAAAGATGGCATGCTGGCGGAGAGATGATTTCAATAAGGGCTGCCTACTGGGTCACGTAATAGATGGCGCCCAACGTGGTATGTTCGTTCTGAGTTGTTGAGTAGCTAATAGTCGAAAATCAGAACCAAAGATGGCAAGCTGGCGGATGATCCCATTTAACACCGCCTACATAATCTTTTAACAGATGGCGCCCAACGCGGTATGATTGTCCTAAGTTGTTGAGTAGTCAACGGTTGAAATCCAAACATAGAGACCGCAAACTGAGGGATGTATTCAATAAACGCTGCCTACAGGATCTCGTAACAGATGGCGCCCAACGTGGCATTTTCGCCCTGAAATAGTGAACAGTTGAAAATTAGAACCAGAGCTGCCGGATTATTCACTTGATGTCGTCTTCAGAATCTTGTAACAGATGGCGTCCTGGGTTGTTGAGTAGTCAACGTTTGAAAACCAAACCCAGAGACCGCACAGTGAGGGATGATATCAATTGACGCTGCCTACATAATCCCGTAATAGATGACGCCCAACGGGTTATGTTCGTCCTGGGTTGTTGAGTAGTCAACGTTTGAAAACCAAACCCAGAGACCGCACACAGATGCATGATTTCAATTAACGCCGCCTACACGATCTCATAACAAATTGCACCCAACTTGACATTTTCGTCCTGAGTTGTTAAGAAGTCAACGGTTGAAATCTAAACCCAGAGACCGCAAACTGATGGATGATTTCAATTGACACCGCCTACAGAATTACGTAGCAGATGGCGCCCAACATGGCATTTTCGTCCTGAGGTTGTGAGTAGTGAACAGTTGGCAATCAAAACCAGAGACGACAAGCTTGCGGATGATTCCGTCTAAAGTATCTCGTAACAGGTGACGCCCAACTTGACGTGTATGTCATGAATTGTTGAGTGGTAAATGGTTGATAACCAGACCCAGATACTGCAAGCTGGCGGATGATACCAATTAACGCCGCCCTGCAAGTTCTCGTAATAGATGGCGCCCAATGTGGCGTGTTCGTACTGAGTAGTGTATGATTGAAAAGCAGTAACATTGGTCAATTTTTTTAGGTTAGGAACTTTCACAATTTTTTTATTTCCACTAAATTGCTTGTAATTAAATATTTTGTATACTGATAATCGATAGATGTCGCTGCAGTCACCAGTCAGGTGGGAATTCTCTTTCACAGAATTCCCATTAAATGTTGCATCGATCAAAAAAACCTACCAAAGATGTAAATCATTTGGTAAATCCCTATCACCAATACGACCTAAACCAACCAAATGAACGACCAAATGAATTGCTTGCGTCGTATGGTGTCAAATTTCTCACACACCCTATGTGATAAAACAATTTATCACGAGTAATAAGAAATTTAATTCGGGGTAATGCCTTTTTTTTAAGAAGAAATACAATATATTTATGATTTCCCAAATAACGACAAATGGCACTGATTCATGGTACTCTTCTTGGGCGCCATTGTTTTTGTTAGCAACTAATAAAAGAGGCATCATAAAGATAAGCCCCGGTGTGTTCAATGTAGATCAGGAAATTTTCATTTCTAATAATTGTGTTATTAAAACATTGTGTGGTTATAATTTAGATTTATTGGCTTTTTATGGGCCAGCAGATTGTGTTTCTCAAACTGCCAGAAAGAAGACAAAGAATATAAATACCTAAACAGTGTAATATTTATTCAATTTCGCAATAGTGTCAAAAAGATTTGGGAATTGCCACCATTGATTGTCAATCCCCAGGTTACTGTCATCACTCCACCCTGGAAACAATTTCCCTTAATTCAAATATATAGAAACTAATAGAACAGAGGTGTTTCATTTTTGTTTTACACTTAACTGAAATTTCTTTATTTGTTTGATGAGAGCATTTAAATAAAGCATTTCATAAATATGAATTCTTTGCATCTTAAAAAAATATAAATTTCAATAAAAAGTATATTACAAAAAATAAAACAAAAAATAACTGGTGAAAAAATTAAAAAGACTTGAAAAAATTCATCAATAATAATAGTAGTAATAGTTGTAAAAAGAACGGGACATGACTTCATGCATAGAAAACAAAAAATACATTCTTCTTTCAGCCAACAATTATTTCTTAAGGGCCTGTACAAAATTCGTAACATCATATTCTTCATCGTATTGCTGTTCCGACCACAACTCCGGCAGACTTTCGATGATGGCATTCATTGACATCTGACCCGATGATGATGAAGAAGAGAGCGCGGATTGTTTTTCACTCTCCTTGTTGCGTTCATTCAAATTGAACAAATCGAATATTTGTCCCGTACCCATGGTATCTAAGCTGGCATTTTCCGAACTAACCACAGTATTGGCAGTGAGTAGCTTGAACTTTTGAAGACACATAATTTTCTCCTCGAGTGATTTGCGTGTTATTAAACGATAAACATTTACGACTTTCTTTTGGCCAATGCGATGGGCACGATCCATGGCCTGTAAATCTTTCATGGGATTCCAATCGTGTTCGACAAAGATTACAGTGTCGGCACCGGTCAAATTGAGGCCTAAGCCACCAACCTACGATGGCAACAACAAATTTAAATTTTAATAAAATTCCTTAAACAAAAAATCGTTTTATGTCATCTCTCTTACCTGTGTGGTCAAAAGAAGTACATCTATACTTGGATCTGTATTGAAATTGTGTACAATATCCTGTCGCAGCGAAGCCTGTACACTGCCATCTAAACGCAAATAGGTAACGCTGGGTAAATGTTTCTTCAGCAAATCTTTTTCGACAATATCCAGCATGGCTTTGAGTTGACAAAAGATCAAAGCACGATGCTGGGACACAGACTCGGTTTGGACGCCAATACCACAATCCAACAAAAGTTGTCTAAAGAGAAAAATATAAAAAAATAAAAAATTATTAATTTTCGAAACCTTGATATAATAGCAAAAGGCCCATAAGACATTGAAGATATTCCGAAGAGACTTCCTTCTGCACAAAATCTCTCTTTTTTGAATCTTCTTCGGTATAGTAAATATAAAATCTTCGGAAGTCAATTACAGGAGATCTAAGGAAATTTTGCTATATGAGACATGAGAGCCTCCTCCATTCTATAAACATGTACGGACTTCAGAGAGTTGCTATCAGGACTAATTGTCTTTGGAGTCCTTCAATGTCTAAGCTATACAAGATGCCCATTTTTGGATTATTTTTGCTTCCCGAGTTTTTAATACAAGTGGAGACATTTATATACGAACAGGAAACCTCTGGATGTTCTCATAATTAAAAGACAATCTGAGAGTTTATTTTATATAAAATAATACGAAATCCATGGAGTTTTTCTGAGGAATATTTGTCCCTTAAAACTCTCTGTGCAGATGGAAGACCTCCAAAGATATTCTACATAGATAGGAAATATTTATAAATGATGTTATGAGCATCGTCCAGAGATATATCTCGTCCATGAATTTCGTATTATTTTATAGAAAATAAACTCTCAGATGGTCTACTAGAAAGATAAATAAAGATAAAACGTCAGAAAGTCATTTTATACACATTGAAGACTCCCTGGGGTCTATCTATAAATACCGAGTCTCCTGAGGGTATAGATAGAAAATCTAATGGTATTCAAGAACGATCAAATAACTTCTGGGTCTGTTATATGGCTATGGAAAATTATTCTATGCATAGATGCCCCCTTAAGGAGAACCAAAGGATGTTATAATTGTTATATTCAAACAAAAAAAAAACTTACTTCAACGCCGGTAACTTCGCCGAATGTTCAATATCATTAAGAGAACTTTGCTGCTGCTGCAACTCCTGCGTTATACGAACATATTCCGGATGCTTTGGTGACAAGACTAGTTTCGGATGATTGCAGACATTCTGCAAATAGCGCAATGCATGGAATATATGTGTCTTTGCATTGAAATCACCTCCATTTTCCAGACAGTCTTTTATTTCGGCATTCAAGTGAACCCGACTAAAATCTTCATACAAACGCTCCTGCAGTGGACTCAATTCACACAGCAAATCTTGTGTAATCTTTGGCGGTAAATCTTTTAGAACATCCTCTTTGACACGCCGCAGAAGGAATGGCAATACCTGTCGGTGTAGCGCTTCCATAGCCAATACACCGGCCTCTTGTTCTTTGGGTGAACTTTTCGCGTCACGTGATGTAAATATCGGTTTCGAGTAACGGGCAATAAATTGTTTTTCTGTACCCAAAAATCCAGGCATTAAGAAATCGAACAGAGACCACAGCTCCAAAACGTTATTTTGTATTGGTGTACCGGACAGTATAAGACGATGATTGGCTTTAAGCATTTTTATGGCTTTGGAATTTTTGGTTTTGCCATTTTTAATAATGTGACCCTCGTCGAGAACACAATAATTCCAATTGACACTGCTGAAGAATTCAATGTCTTTGCGTATTGTGTCGTAAGAGGTGACAACTAGATTACATTTGGTACCAATATAACAGCGTAACTTCTCCCGACACACGGGTAGACCAACATAGTGTAGAGGAATTAGAATCTTGGGATCTTTAAGGAATTTGTCCACCTCATAGACCCAATGTCCGGTGAGAGTGGGAGGACATATAACCAAACTTGGCAAGGGTGTTGCTTTGTCCACCAAACGTTGATAGTGATCGCCGGCCAAGATGCAAATGGTTTGTAAAGTCTTGCCAAGACCCATATCGTCGCAAAGGATACCGTGCAGGTTGTATTTATTTAAAAACCAAAGCCAATTTATGCCAGCCTGTTGATAGGAACGCAACTCCACGCTAATGGGTACGGGTACCTTATAGTCCGGAATTGTCTTGGGAGCAAATAAATAATCCAAAAATTCACGATCTCTGGTTTTGCGGGCCTGCAACTCAGCCGATTTTATTTCATGTTTTATGCCATTACCCTGGCCGCCGCCAACCGTATCCAATGGCATCAATTGTATAAGGGTGGCAAAACAATGGGTGGCCAGTAGACGTACACTTTCATCTATATCACTCATGGCTCCCAATAATGGTACCACCAACAGCACAATATAGGGTACAATTTTTATTTGCAACTTTTCAACCACCCTATCAATTGTTTCTATAGCGCCCTGACGTTCAATGGGATTCTCAACTTTGGGTAGTAAAACCATAATGTGATTGACAACAAAATCCATCACACGACATGGATCCAGGGAGGCCAAAGTGGCCACACATCTGGCAGACATGTGACGAATCTGCAAAGCAAAAAAATTGGATTGGTTTGGGGCTAAAAAAAATTAAAATCTAAATAATAAACTCACCGCCTTTAAAGGATGTCCAATAAGTTTACCCAATGCGCCAAGTAATTCAAAAAGTTTATCATGCAAATCACTGTGGACATGAGGAGCTGCTACCTCAAGTAATTGCAAAGCAGTCATCAAATCATTTGTTTGCGCGACATCAATTATACAATTGTTGAGTAGATTCATTTCGGGAAAGGCTGTCATGAATTGTTGTATCCTCGTGAAGATCAATTGTTCAAATATCGGCAACTTTTGCATTAATTTATTGCCAAAATGTTCGCATAACTTGACAATGGCACAAGCCGAACCCATACGTTGTATGCGATTCCTTTTCAATTCCAATTCTGTGGCAAAATTGCGTGCATTTACAACTTCGGCGGCAGCAGCAGCGATTGTTTCACTCAACGGTGGTCTGCCGGGACCACGAGAAGTACTGGGAGTGCCGCCAGCAGTTATACTGCCACCACCACCTCCAGTTGATGATGCACTGGCGGAAGAAGTTTTTCCAGAAGTGGACAAATTTTGTTGTAAACTGAAGGATAGAATTCCATAATATGCACATGATTCGCACTCAGCAGCTGAATTATGTACAGGAGTTTGTTGTAAAGTCACTGGGGCTGGAAGCTAAAAAGAAAAAAACATATACCTATATATTCCCATTCTGGAAAAAAAGGAACACCTCAAACTTACAATTTTCGGTGTAAAATCAGCATCACTTTTGAGCAAAGCCGATAGATTTGTCAGCAATTTATTATTGGGACTAGGTTCACGATCACAAACTTGATCCATAAAGGTCACCAGGAATTCACACGACAATTCCTGTAGCAAAAGACTTTCTTCGCGTTTAATGGATTCCATTAGCGGTTTGACGACAGGATTTAATTTCTCCGGCAGGCATTTCAGATAGACAATAGCCCCAGCCAATGCTGCCTGAGTACTAACATTATAATTGGCCTGTTCCGTTGATGTTTGTTGATATGAACTTTGTAGGCCCTTGCGACGTTCTTCCAACATTTCGAGAATTTTCGTTTTCAATGGATATTTTCGCAAGTCTGCCGAAAGGCTAAAGGCTACAGCTTCTATTTGATCTAATGTTAAAATTTTCGCCTGTCCAAAATCGTTAATGGGAATTTTATATTGTTTTAATGTGGCTATAAAATCTTGAGTTTCCTGGTGCAGTCTGAAAAGGGGGGAAAGGAGAAGACAGGTAGTAAATTGTTAAAATGCTAAGTTTTAACCCCTAAACTCTTTTACTTTTCATCTGTTATATATGTTTGTGCTCGCTCACCTTGTAAATGCCACAGCTACTTCATCATAATACACCGATTCCATGACACATTGACGCAATTTTTCTTGTAATTTTGGCGGACCAGGACACACCGACGGATCACTTTTCGCCCAAAATGCTATAATTAGACCGCACACCAAACGCTGTACAGCCGAACGTGAATTTAAATGACCTAATAAAACTTTGGCATAACAGTCCATAGGACTTTCAGTCTCTGGAGTATAAATTACACCGGGTGCCGGTTGTACCAAATAATGTGATAGCGAACCAAGGACACGGGCCGCCGTTATACGAGCACGTATATAATTTTTCTCCCTCACTTCTACGGGTGTAGATTCAGAGCCACCCAAATATAGCTTTTGATTACAGAGTGGATTGGAACCACCCAAATCATCAGCCAATTTACATTGACGTCTACGTTGTTGTGGTGATGTTGTAGTTGTAGTATCTGTACCCGGTGGCTGTACTGCATGAATTAATATTGAGGGGTCAAATGCTAAACGAGGTGGCTGCATTGCCAAACATATCCATGATGATACAAAGGGGCAGGCGGCATGCAGCAGTGCACCCAAGTCGGCATTTGCAATTAAATTCAGCCAAACCAATTTGGCCATTTCCTGAACATCTACCATAGGTTCGACTAGAATACGTTGAAATAAATGACGTAGGGCATCTTGTAATAACTTCCAATTCCAATCGATGACACCAAAATTGAGTCGAAGGCTTTTCGAATCAAAACTGAAATTGTCTGAGGTTAGATTTGTAGACGATTTTTCAAGTGTGGCGACCGTGGCATCCATACTTTCTGTTTTCACGGGACTTTGAGTGTTTTTCGTAAGAGTCTGTAAGGTAACGAGAGTGGATTTACGTACAGAACTACTGCTGTGTGATAGGAATGGCCAGAGGCGAGGTATTAATGTTGACATTGGTTCCATTCTAAAGAAAAGAACATCAAATTAGGATGATGTGTTTTTTGTAAATTATTAATGTCGCGACTTACTGTATCCATGAGGAAGCATTTGGAAGACAAAGTATGGCAGCTAGTAGACCCATAAAACTATTACTAGCCGAGGTCAATTCATCTTGATCTAGCAGAAGATCCCAAAGCATTTTCACAATTGACGACACCTGAGTGGCATTTAAAAGTTTCGGCAGCCAGGTGGCAACTGGTATAAGTGTTGAGGCAGCCACTGCCCCAACATCATCAACACTATCGAACAGACCCATTAATATATCATTTATGGTTTGTGGCAAATAGATTTGCAGCAAATCTTCTCGTACCACAAACACATATTTCATACCCAATAGACCACCATGTCGTACTTCCCATTCACTTTGCTTGAGTAGGGTGCGTAAAATATAGACAATTTCTTGAACCTTATTCGATTCCATTTCTTTTACAATTGTACCCAAAACCTGGGCGCATGTTTCGCGGACTGGTGCCACAACTTGATCGGATATGAAGTCACCAAAGCGATCTAAGCACAATACACATAATAAACGCAGAGCAGCATCTTCCAGCCAGAGGTTGTGGTAATGTTGCATCTATGGGGAGAAAAGGGGGCTATTTTTATTTACCGGATTTTGGTAATATCGTTTTTGGAAAAATCCTACCTCTTCTCGTGTCATATTCAAACTTTTTCCAGCCCCCGAAGCCTGTTTATTGATGAGTTCCCTTAGGGCAGTGGCTGCACCATGACGCACCTCCCATTTGGCATTGAAGAGATCCACATAAAGTCGTGCACAAAAATTCTCCAAGGGCCAATTAACAGCATCTACCCAATTTCCAGTTAGATCCGGAACGGGATCTATAACAGAAAGTTTTTTTAATAATGAAATTCCTACAAATTTGAATTGTTTCCCTCCTTACCATTTAAACTATAAAATATATCCTGCCGTTCAGCAGTTTTAAGTTTTTTCTTTTCCGGCTCTTCTGAAGAACCATTTGATGTAGAGGCACCTACTGCTGCCACAACACTGCCTGCAGTTGATAGGGCCACAGCATTTTGTCGTGCCTTGCGTTTGGCTCGATTAATTTCGCGACAACTCAATTGTTGACCATTGGATGGTACCAAATTGGCATTTGGTTTGATGTTGAGTATATGTTCGACCGGTACCTTTTCCTCATTGACATTATAATTACTACCAGATCGGATCATATCTTCATCGGTTATTAAATCAGTTAGATTAACGCCCAATTTTGAGGCTTGTGTTAGACCCAGCTTTTCATTTAGTAAAGCCCTTTGGCGGCTTAATCGTTCGGCAGCATTATCAGCTCCTCCCCCTCCTCCAGCATTATCACTTTTGGCATCATCATCGAATTCGATGCCTTCGGAACCAATTAAACGGGCACCCTTCTTCAACACTTGTTCCAAATTGAATTCGGCAAATGTTAAATAACGTTCCTTGTAATAATCACTACTGACTGAATTGCCGGATGATGTTATTGTTGTAGCCGATGAGGCATTCGACTGACAACTATTCTCTTCATCCGCGGTTTCTTCTTTTTTAATTTCTTTTTTAACGCCACCGGAAGAAGTCGACGCAGTTACATATAATTCCGGTTTCCATTCGGGCACATTGCTTAGTATGGCCTCAACAGCCTGGGCAGCTGCAATACGCGTCTCCCATGATGAGCTATATAAGTAGCCAATTAAACGATTCAATAGCGTATGCAATTCTTGGGGATATAATTTTTGGATTTCGCCAATTTGTTTGGCAGCAGCTCTGCGTGTTACGGCCGATGAACCAGACTCCAATAAAATAAAAAGTCGATCAAGTCTGGGGGAAAGAAATAAAAGTTATATTATTTAAACAGTTGTTGTTTAATGATAGATAGTCAACGTACCTTGATGTCATTGCTATTTTATGGATTTACTGGGCCAGAAGACACACACACACACCCGTAAACAAGAATCAAGGAAAAATGCCAGCTACCTTTAGCAATGGCAGCAGCAGTAGTGCTGTTCTCTGTCAACTTTTAGTAGCAAGTGCAGGGAGAAGAGAGAGAATTCATAGAAAAATTACAAATACATTAATAATTAGTTTTGGGTTTTTTAATAAAATGTGTATATAAACAATTATATATATCTAAACACTAAAATTTTAAAATGAACTTAACCTCAAAAACGAAAATTTGAGTTAATAAGAAAAACACATAGTAGGCCACAGACCGACCTATAGATGTATAAGGTTTTATTATCTGCGCCTTGAAGCTTCAGATTGCAATTTATTTGCTTCTGAGCAGTAAAATGCTATATTTTCCTTCTTTCCCTGTCTCCCTGTATTTTTGTTATTTAATTGCATTACTAATATTTGTTTTCATATTGCAATTCAAACAATAACAAATTAGGTTTTGAAACATGTATATATTTAGAGGGGAAAAAATAAAACAAACTTAAAATTACCTCATCATGTGTTTGAAATAAATGCTATTTTTGAAATATGTCTATAGTATTGAAATAAATTCCGCTGCGGTCATGTAAGGTAACTAAAAGTTTTAAAAACAAAACAAAAAAACCAGATGTATAATATAAACATCATTATTAGTTATATTACTCCTTACATCACGTACTGTACACACACTGTCAACAGGGGATCTAACCCTGATATTTATCAGAAACATGGACACAAATCATAATCGTAATCATCATCAGCTAGCTAGCCACCATACATTTTGTGGAAAAATATTAAAATTCACAAATATACGACCAATGGCCGGCAGTGGCAACCATCATCAATACACTAACCAACCCACCAACCAGTCAGTCAGCCAGCAAGCTTGCTAACTTTGCTCACCACCAACAAACACGGGTGTTATCAGTAGAGTAGAAGAAAACAAAATGCATGTGGCCTCAAAAACCACAAACGATGCAAATTAGCATGAATGTGGGGAGAGCTAGCCAGCTAGCAAAGAAACACACACACGTTTTATTGATAAGACGACTACTTATTCTAATTCTAAGAACATGAAATAAAAAGTAAAACAATAAAGCTATATTAAAGTACGAAATGAAGATGGAAATCTAAAGAAATGGAATTAAAACAAAAATATGAAACGACAATAAATTTAAAAAAAAAAACACTTATTGGGAATTTTGAAAATGTGTTATTTTTAATTTTCTTTTTATTAAACTTGTATGTTGAACTAATATGTCGAAGACATATCACAAGATCTCTCTATTTCAGAAAAAGTAATGAAAATAGTATTTAAATCATTTATTGAACCCCATGATGAACTTAGGATTTGTGTTTGAAATTGATTAAGTATGATGAGAATTGAAATTGATTAATATAATAGATAAGGTTTTTCTGTAGAGGTTATAAGAAGTCCTTTCTATACATATCATTTTAATCACAACTTATATACAACAAAGAAGAATTGTTATCCATATATATATGGTTGGTTCTGTATCTAAATTCAGGGAGGTTGCAATATGAATATGCTGTGTCCACAGGGAATTACGAGAACGGTAAGTGGACTTAGCTGGTAGCTCCTGTCCACATATGTTAGGCATCGATATATAAATGCATTCCCAATAGGAATTGATACGGTTGCACCAACCTACTTTTAGTTGACCTAAGACTTCTCGTGTTGGTCTGGGAAGCTACTTTTCCTCTGCCGCTATGGTTTGTCCAAGTCAGGAAAATCTCTTCTGGCGTGTCTGGCTGGTTAGAAGTACAGGTGAGAAGACATTTGGCACCTCATATAAATGGCCGCAATTTAATGGAATTTGGTCTTTATGGCATCAAATCGCAATTTTGGAAATAAATAAATCAATGTAATAATCAAGTAACACTAGAAACTATTTGTCTACAAGGAAACATTTCAAAAATGTTTGCAAAAAAATACAAACAAACAATAACCGCAATAAACGCTTCCCCACAATTTACCGGTTGGCGTCTCTCTCTCGCTTCGACATTCAGAATACATAATAAATTTTGTTAATCTGGCAATGCTAGTGGTGTATATGACACAGACGCTTCTACTCTCATGCGTGGTTTTATATTTGCCGGGATCGGGATCGGTGTTGAGAGTCTCTCTCTCTCTCAGTGGTAAATTGTGAATTGTGTTGGAAAACATTGCCACAGGTAGGAACAAAAAAGTACGAAAAGGTACCTAAAATTCTACTTCAAATGATAATAAATCATAATTATCGAGAAATATTGGCCAATATTTATACCAGTTGTTTGCATAAATAATATATGTTATAATTTAAGCGTAAATGTGTCCACGAATAATAAAAAATATAATTTTTGTTTTGGTACGTTTATGTCAATTCGTACATTTTGTGAACAAAAAGTACGCTTGTTACAAAATTAAAAATAGCGCAACTCTAATTACTCTCTCAAGAGAGAGAAACTCTCAACACCGATCCCGATCCCGACAAATATAAAACCACGCCATGCATATGTACGCACACACAAACATAACTTGCCGTTTTGTCTACTTCCAAAAAAAAACGTCTCTAACGAAATGACGGAAAGGGGGAAAACCAACAAACGGTACAATTTATGCAGCAGACAAAAAAGTAAACAAAACATTATCAGAATTGAACACGTTTTTTCTTCGTTATTTTTATATTTTCACAAAATTCTGTAGGATATTTACCTTTTGTTTTCGGCCTTCTTGTCGTTGGCACTTCAAATGAAGCGCAGATATGTCAATAACAGCAGCGCTGTCTCTGCCAGCCTGCCTGTGCGATAGAGAGTTGACAAGAACTTGATGTGTATGAGTGAGTGAACCAGAGAGCTTTGCTTGTGTGTACAAAGAATGCAGCAACTGTTAATAGATTTTTTTCTCTGTGTGTACTTTTACTTTTTTCAGCCACTTTAATAGCACCACTTATTCTAAAATTTTTTCTCCAAGAAAAAAATTCCTTTTTCCTACGCACTTGTAAATCACTTTCCAAATATTCTTTGCACAATTTCCTGCCACTTTTGTTGGTTATAAATACCCACGACACGACAATATCTATTACATTTGTGTATGCTTCACTTGAATTTTTTCCTTTTTTTCTGATTTTGCTTCTTCTCTTTCTGCCAACGAATAGATTTTTTTCCGCAATCACTTTACATTTTTGCGTGCAAATTTAGAGGCTATAGCCACACGAATTGGAATACCACTTCATTATGGATATTATTCTGCTGCTTTGGCACTAATTCACAATTATTGTCACATACACAGAATTTTCTATTGGATTTCAATTTTTCAATTTCACATAGGGTTTTGCACGCCGATTAAAAATACTTCGAATTTTCTTAATTATTTTAGAATTTTCAAAATTTTCAGGGAAAGCCATGGTCGCGTTACTTCCAAATTTATACTGACAGCAAGCCAATGAGTGTCGTTCGTTTTAAGGCACTGAAGAGAGCACAACGCCGTTACGTGTCACTGATGTTAACGGCGGTAAAAGGCCGTCGCTGTGCCAATTGAAGGTAATATTCAACTAGATTATATTTAAGTGAACAATTTTAATATTTTTTTAATTTCGTTATCGTAGTAAAAAGTAGTAGATTTTTACAGTACGGGAACAGACCAATAATGATACAAGTTTTATTGCAGAAATGTTTTAACAAATTGTGCTTCGTATACAAAAACATTGAAAATGAGCCCATGCTTCGACATATGGTCTATTCCAGTAATTTTTTAATAGTAAAGCTAGTAAAAGGAAAACATTTCAAACTCGCTCTCAGAGTGCAAAATAAATTGAAAAGTTCAGGAACGCAAATCTAGTAAATATGCCAAAATTAGATGACAATACTTCAAAATCGACATAACAGCCAATCAGAAGTAGGTATTCCTGTTTACCATTTTTACTCTGCCAAATTTCTCGCGTAAAAAGTTTACAAAAGAGAACCTTTTCAAGAACCTTTTTCGAGCAAACAGTTGCAAAACTCGTAAAATTAGTAGATTCTGTTGTGTTATGGAACGGAACTATAGTTTCCATATAAATGTCCCAAAACATTTTCGGTAAGTTGAAGGTCCTATCAACATTTTCAAACCTAAATCCCTTAATTTGCAAATTTTGATTTCGCAGAAGATAAAAGGGCCTCCGTACTGATAAATAACAATAACGATCGAATTAAATTATATTAAATGTCACCTTAATGGTGAAGTATATAAAATGTGCGACCTTGACCAATTAAACGAGGTTTCCCGACAGAAGTATCGTCTATAAAGAATCATTTCAGTTTGTCTATAAATAGTATCTTCAGCTCGTCTTTAAAGGCTGCCTTCATCTCGTCGACCCTTATTACATTCTTTTTGAAAAATTAAAGTCCAATATAGAGAAAATCTAAATAATAATGCAAAAGTACTTTTAAATTATCCTTTAAGAATCAAAAATACATAATTCTGACTGTAGAAATCGTAAAATTCGAATTAAATAAAATAATTTGGACTGTATAAACAAATCGGTACTGTACATATTTTTGTCCTCAACTATATACTAAAATGTGACCAACAGAGACCAACATGCACAAATTGTGTAATTGCGTGTTGTATTTAATTTATTCATTATAAACTAGATAAATATATATTATATATAATATTTTCGATTATTTTTACATTATTCTTTTATTATTTTTAGATATCCAATACTACAGTTGTGTTATCATTTCTCAGTAATTAGCGTTTCAAAGTGACCCGCCGTTGAAAAAAACGTTACTGCGTAACGCCGTCTAATACGACATAATCAAATCTACGCCGTTCTAAAAACATCAACTGGCTTCGCTTTCTGCTCTTGCGTCGTTTTTGGTAGAGAAAAATATTTTGTGTGTGGAATTAATTGTTAAAATTGTGTCAAATAATTAATAAAAAGTAACAAAAACTATGTGTACACTTGCTCCTAAAAAGGACGGAAGTCCTAATATAGAATTTTTCAATTCAGCTGAATCCTTACAGGGCTTTGAGACAATACGACAGTGGTTGCAAAAAAATTGTAAAAAGGTGAGACACGGCCAGCCAGCAGCCGACAACAAAGCGAGTGACCGACAGCTTAAACATCACACCGAAAAAGAAACAACCAACGAATAAAAATGGCGCTTACATTTTATAATTTTATTATTTTTAATTACTTTTTTATTCACAGTATTTGGCCAGCAGCAATGAACCCATCACCAAGGAATCTTTGGCCCAGTTGCTTATACAATTTCTACAGTATTTGGAGGCAAGATTGGGCAAGAATTCACAAGAACAGCCAACAACGCGTATACCGGTAAGTACAACAACAACACCAAAAACATGCATGCATACACACTATCTGTGGCTGCCTGCTTCGAAATGAAATTTAAAATTGTAATTTTGTTTCTTTCGATATCAGATGCGTTGCTTTTTGGATTTCAAGCCTGGAGGTGGTCTCTGTATTATATTCTCGATTATGTTTCGTTTCCGTGCCGAACAACGAGGCAAAAAATTAGATTTTTCTGTTGGCAAAAATCCCAATCGTAAAGATCCAAATGTACAATTACTTATAGATATTGAACAGGCCTTGATTGAAGCCGATCACTATCGTATTCCGTATATTTACATTCGCCCCGAGGTAGACAAACAACTGGCTACACGCTTGAAGGAAATTTTGGCAATACGTCGCGTAGAAATTGTCGCCGATGAGGAAGACGCAACGCATATAATTTATCCCGAAGTGGATCCTCATCCCGACGAATATGCCCGTCCAGTATTTAGACGTGGCAACCATGTCATGATGCATTGGTATTATTTTCCCGAATCATATGATACATGGACCGTGAATACATTAGATTTGCCGGATAATCTTTTTGAAAATCCGGAATCACCAGTTGAACGTTGGCGTGTTTCGGCCACCTGGATTATTGATTTGGAACAATATAATGAATGGATGGCCGAAGAGGATTACGAAGTTGATGAAATGGGTAAAAAGAAAACTCATAAATTACGATTGTCCATAGATGATATTATGTCGGGTGGTGTTGACGACAAGAAAAAAGCAGCTGGTGGTGCTACACCAGCAGGGGCTAAACAAAAACGTAGACGTTCTCCATCGCCCAGCTCATCCAAGCCGGGTAAACGTAAGCGTTCGCCGGCCGTTTTACATAAGAAATCACGTAACGATGAGGAGGATGAGGATTTGACTCGTGATATGGAAGATCCACCGGCTGAAACAAATCTCCAAGAGGTTATTAAGAGCAACACTTTGCAGTCGACTGCAAGTCCAGCACCGGGTAGTAAATCCAGGGCCGATAATGATATGGTTCCCATTAAAGGTAAGTGCCATTATATATTCTCTTGCCATTTGTTATAAAATTAATTTTCAGGTGGCACCCTAACAGATTTGGATGATGAAATGACCGGTGGCAGTGGTACCCAAGCCTTGTCCGCCTGTGATGGTGAAAATTCTCAAACTGGCAAAACAAGTGACAATAGCAATACCCAAGAATTTTCTTCTTCGGCCAAAGAAGATATGGAGGACAATGTCACCGAGCAGACACATCACATTATTGTACCATCTTATTCGGCATGGTTCGATTACAATTCCATTCATGTTATTGAAAAGCGTGCAATGCCTGAGTTCTTCAATTCTAAGAATAAATCAAAGACCCCCGAGATTTATATGGCCTATAGGAATTTCATGATTGACACTTATCGCCTGAATCCAACAGAATATCTTACAAGTACTGCTTGTCGGCGTAATTTGGCCGGTGATGTTTGCGCCATTATGAGGGTCCATGCATTTCTTGAACAATGGGGTTTAATTAACTATCAAATTGATGCTGAGTTGCGTCCCACACCCATGGGACCACCACCAACATCACACTTCCACATTCTGTCGGATACTCCTTCAGGCATACAGTCTTTGAATCCACAAAAGACACCACAACCATCTGCAGCAAAAACTCTTTTAGATTTGGATAAGAAACCATCAGGTGGAGCTGCCGCGGCCGCAACCGCTGCTACCGGTGCCAGCAAGGATATTAAGGAGGATTCGTTGGATAAGGCACCCACAGTTGGTATTAAAACAGAACCCACTGAGAATGGAGCAAGCATTCCTCCTCCCGCAACCGGACAATTTGGCTTGAAATTGGATCAATATGCCAAAAAGCCAGCCGCCATGAGAAATCGTACTGCTGCCAGTATGTCAAGAGAATGGACCGATCAAGAGACTTTACTCTTGCTCGAAGGTTTGGAATTGTATAAGGATGATTGGAATAAAGTGTGTGAACATGTGGGTACACGTACACAAGATGAATGTATTCTACATTTCCTACGTTTGCCGATTGAAGATCCCTATCTTGAGGATGATGGTGGATTTTTGGGTCCCCTAGGATGCCAGCCTATACCATTTAGTAAGTCTGGCAATCCCATAATGTCAACAGTGGCATTTTTGGCTTCGGTGGTAGATCCTCGAGTGGCAGCGGCTGCAGCTAAGGCGGCCATGGAAGAATTCGCCGCCATCAAGGATGAAGTACCGGCATCAATTATGGACAATCACATGAAGAACGTTGAAAAGGCCTCAGCTGGGGGTAAGTTTAATCCCAGTTATGGTTTGGCTAGCAGTGGTATTGCTGGTACTGGTACTGATAAAGAAGACGAAGATCCAAATAATCCCACAGTTGGAGGTACACAACAGCCTACACCAGGAACGGTGGATGAAGAAATGAAAGACATTTCCAAGAAAGATGGTAAGTCCTGATATTTTCTTCTCGTCCACTCTGCAATACATTTGAATCCTGCATCAGTATTCTATGCATTATTTTATATTTTTTGCAACATATTTTTATTTTACCCATTCCCTTATATGCTTGTTTTTTTGTTTATTTTTTCGGTTTCGTTAAATATTTTGTTGCTATCCTCCTTACCGCTGCCACACCAAAATTTTTAAAAATCCCTCCCGCATGCAGAAAAAGATCCTACCAAAACCAACACCTCTGCTACTACTGAGGATAGTACTAAAGACAAAGATAAAACAGATGATAAAGAAAAAGACAAAACAGAGAATGATAGCGATAAAAAAGATGATAGTAATATAAACCCTTACTCAAGTATTTATGTATACAATTTTTAACGTTGAACTTATTTTCTTTTCACCATTGTTTAGATACTTCTGCAATGGATCCTAAGGATATAAAAACCGAAGAGAATAGTGGAGATGGTACCACATCTGGTGATGGTTCAGCCAACAAAGATGCAAATGATTCTTCAAAACAAGTTTTCAATGAAGTCAATGTTCAGACAGCGGCAGCAGCAGCTTTGGCATCGGCCGCTGTAAAGGCCAAACATTTGGCGGCCTTAGAAGAACGAAAAATAAAATCTTTAGTAGCCCTGTTGGTTGAAACACAAATGAAGAAGTTGGAAATAAAATTACGTCATTTTGAAGAGCTGGAGACAACAATGGAACGAGAACGTGAAGGTTTAGAGTATCAGAGGCAGCAACTTATTGCTGAACGACAACAATTCCATTTGGAGCAATTAAAAGCAGCCGAGTTTAGAGCACGTCAACAGGCTCATCATCGTTTGCAGCAGGAGCAGCAATGGCAAGGAACAGGGGCTCCAGGTTCGGCAACAGCACCACCAAATGCAGCAGCACCAGGTGGGGCAAGTGGACCCAGTACAGCACCTCATGCACCAGGTGCGACAACGGGAACATCAGCAGGTGGGCCCTTAGCACCTAATGCATCGGGAGCGACACCAGGGGCACCATCTTCAACAAATGCAGCCGTGGGAGGACCCTCCAATGCAAATGCTGCTATAGCAGCAGGTGCTCCTCCAAGCGCGCCAGCTGCTACACCAATGGGTAATAACCATTTACCATATATAATAATTAAAATTTGTAATAAATATTACCTATTTTTGTAGATACAACTCCAGCACCCGCAGTACCGCCAACCTCTATTCCTCCTGCCAGTGGAGCTTCAGAAGCGACAGCTGTTAGCACACCCCCCACAGGTCAACCACCTCTAGCCGCTGGAACAAACGCCTCCGGTTCAGTTGTACCTCCAAATGTTGCTGCTCCATCACTCACTACCACTCCAACAGCTGGACCACCAGCCACAGTCGGACCAGGTGCCCCTGGAATACCACCTGCCTAAATCTCTACACATTGCTAACACATTTTTTCTCTCACATCTCTTTTAATTAACATTAGATATTTAGTATTTAATTCTAGATTTACTCCACCCCCCATTAGATTTGTATAGATTTTTTTTTTAATCTGGGTTCTTATTTTTTATAAATATTTGAGTAAATTGGTTTATTTTCGTTTCCTACATCCAACGACGGTATTGCAAAAACAACAACAATAATAATGATGATAATTATATGCTGTGACAGACAGCCGTAAAAAAATTGAAACTATTGATGCGATTTACCATAAACATTTATCAACATATAATGATAAGCGCAAAAATCATACATTCGCTAATGATACGTTCATATACGAAAACAAGAACAACAACAAATACCTATGGAACACCATTCAAAAAAAAAATATTCTTTTAAATAAACGTATTTGTCTACTTGTACGTAAGTAAAATAACAAAATTTCTATTTATTTTTTTATGAAAACTGAAATGAAACGAAAAAATTGGTAAGATGAATCAAATGGGAGGAAAGATTGATTTCACAATGGTCCGAACCGGGGCATCACCTTATGTGACGGCATCCTGTTATGCGAAAAAAGGAAAATATAAACCGACAAATGCGACAGAACAGCTAAAGTAGATGGGAATTGATAGTAAAACTCAATTGACCCTCTGTCAATTTCATTACATCGCAGACTATCGCCCATGTTCTGTATTTCGAGTTTGTTCGAATGTGAAACATGTTCCACATTTAGTGTGCTCCATTTCGAATAACCAAATAAATATTGGGAATATGTGATACGAATTGTTGAAAATGTAAAATATAAATAGACAAATTCGGCAGTATAAATAAAATAGTTGGGAAGATGTTATTGCCCAATTGATAGTAAAACTCAATTGATCCTCTGTCAATTTCGCTACATCGCAGAGCACCAAAATATTTGGTTCTTGTAGTTGCTAATGTCCCTTCATGTCTTCCGTTACATTGTTGAACATTGCTTGTAAGGTCCAATCGAACATTGGGTTCTTGTATTTGCTAAGTTGTGGTTGGTCATTTCAATTATGTACACATGGATCATAATTTTTGTAAATTGAATTTCTTGCAAAAACTTATTCATCTTTACTTCAAATGTTTCGTGAAATTTTTAATTTTGAACAAAAAAAAAACTTACAAGAAACTTGTAATTAATTATTTTTTAAATGTAATAATTATTTTATAAATTATTCTCAAGGCATACTTGTAGGCGTGTATTGGGGTTTTAACGGCGCTACTCAAAAAAACTATTTCTTTTGCTCTTTTCTAATTTATTTAAGTATGTTGTTTCTAAAGCAGAATTTAAGGCGTTTGTTATATGTTAAACCCACATCGTTGCCTAACTGTTATTGTTGACGGCGGCATTCGAAAAACATCAATGTTTGCAAGAAGGCATTGACGGAAACGGTATCTACAAAAGAAATGAGAAAGAACATATTTTGTTTAATTGATTTTAAATTCTTCAATCAGTTCGACGTAGAAAATGATAATTATTTTTTTAAACATAAAAATGAAATTCCGGGAAAATACAAACTAAACCGCCGAAAGAGCGATTTCACTAAATCCGTAGAGCTATCCACTGTAAAATGATTACGCATGGTGCAATCCACTGTAAAATGAGTGACTCTCTCTCTCTCTAGCGATGTGTCTGTCACATCTCATTCGTAAACATTTCTTTATTCGCTTTGTGTTCCTTCTTTAGCAGGTATTCTTTCTGTGTCTCCCTATTAGCAGGTGGAACGTTTTTAATTGCAATCGGTGAAAAAGCATGCAAAGGAAAGCATCACTCACGTAGTCACGGGAGTTTTTTTTCATTTAATTAAATGAATAATAAACAAAAAACAAATAAGAAAAAAAAAATAATAATGACTTTGATCGTAATATTAAAAGAAAGTGAAAAACGAAATTATTTACGTGCGTGCTAAATCAATCAAGTCTATACAAGAAGTGTTCTCGCCTTGGCCATCATTACATTAAGAGTGCAAGTGAGCAAGCCAAGTGAAGTTGGAGTTTTTTTTTACCCCAACAAAGAAAAGCGAAAATAAAAGTGAATTAAATGTTAATTAACCCCAAAAACAACAACAAAAACAAATATAAATTTATTGCAAGTGGTTTTGTTTTTGTGATTACCATTGAACGCATACATTTTTTAAAGCTTTTATTGACTGCGTCGTCGTCGTCGTACTGCTGCCTGATTGTTGCTGTTTCTTCTGCCCAACCCCAGGTTATTGGAAACAAATTGTTGTTGTGGCAGACAGACGCAACGTTTAAATATTTGGCCCAAACTACTGTTTTCCACCAATCCTCCCCCACCACCTATGCCTTGGCATCATGGTTGGCCAATAATTGTTATTGTTTGTTAACAAAATATTCATTCAGGTGCTGCCACTACGCTTCATTTAGCCCACTGTCGTCTGCCTCTACCAAACCAACTACCAAGCATCAGGTCGAAAGGGAATAACAACAACAGCACATACAAGTATTTCACGACGAAAAATACACTTGGATTCCAATTGTCGCAACTCCAATAAAATTTTGTTGTTGTTGTTTTCTTTTGTGAATTGTCATTGTTATGGTCACGGCAATTTGCTGTTTCAGCAAAACTCTTATCAGCAATAATGCACGAACAACAACACCACCACCATCAGTCTGCTTAAGCCAGTAGTAGACCTGCTTTCTCTGCAAAACAATAATTTAATGGAGTCTAAAAAATAGTAAAAATAAAAAAGAGTTTACTTGAAACGATTTTTTTGGGCAAAAGGGAAAATTAAAAAATAATAATAATCTACAGGCAAAAGTCCACCAACCAGCAGCCACCTAAATAAATCATGGAATTAAAAGTTTGGGTTGAAGGTATCCAAAGGATTGTTTGTGGTGTCACAGTCAATACCACATGTCAGGTATGTATAGTACAGAACATGATTTGTTGTTGCTATTTTTTTAAATTTTTAGTATTTCTATATTTTTTCGAGTTTACGGACGGTCAACACATTCAATTAGCTGGAAGTGATTAATAGCTCATTTAGCCTAATAGCAACGTTTAAGAGTTCTTCGTTCTTTTGCCAGTTTGTGCGGTTATCGAATCTTGCTGAACAAAAAGTCATTAATCTTTCATTAAATAACTGTTACAAAATGATGATGATGACGACGAAGACGACTGGTTTTCGTATACAATACAATATTTATTTAAAAAAAAACCATGTTTCAATGGTATCATCAACACATTATCAGCATTTAACCTGAATTATGAAAAAATGATTTAGGCATTTGCTAATAGGCTAAATTGGATAATAAATATGAGAATCGTTAGAATAGTGAAGGTGTTTATAATTTAATACAGAATGTTTCTCAACGAAGCAGTGGAATTGGAGATTCTATTTTTACTACATGAACTTCTTACACAGATTGTCAGTATGGATTCATAAAGAATACTACAGTACTTTAACCGTTAAAGGTTAGAGCAAATATTACAATGGCTTCATATATAGCACATTGGAAGACCTTCACAAAATAAGTTCCTTAAAATATATCAGAAAGTTTAAAGGCCTTAGAGAGAAAATGTAAAAAAGATAAAATACCAGTGATCTATTAGAAAAACAATAAATTTATAATTAAATAAGAGTTGTACGCACAGAATATTCTCATTCATGCCCGAAATGCTTAGATAGAAGACGTTAAGGTCTTTCCATTAAATATAGAGGATAACACCTTCTCAACAAATATAAAGTATTCACATAGAAGATCAGAATGTGTATTTGACAAGAAGATATTTTCATAGAAGACCAGAAGAACATATTCACAAATTCATCCCATATAAAATAAAATAGATGGTCACGCAGGAGATCTTTACAAAAAATAAAAAAAGGTGGTGGCCTGGTGGTCTTGACATAGAAGAACCAGAAAGTGATCACCTGATTCACCTAAGTCCAAAAATTCTTCAATATGAAGATCGAATACCACATAGATGATGATATGATAATCTTAACATAGAATTCATTACGCTGTGCCAAAAAATATATATGGACTTTGGTGCACCATTTGCATTATATATCTAAATCTAAACCGATTTTCCAAATTTCAATAGGGTTTGTCCTTGGGCCAAATATGTGACCTATGCCAAATATCATCCATAAATGCGAAATTTCATCATAAATGCGACCTGTGCTTTGTTTACAATTTAACACCAACAGACAGACATACGGACGGATATGCATAAATCGACTCAGAAAGTGATTCTATTCTCAAAGACATAATACCCTGTACCACAAACATATTCACAAAGACATAATACCCTGTACCACATAGTGGAACCAAAACTAATTTTCTTATCTTATAAAAAGTACCAAAAGACTTCTTTAATGTATAACACATGCAAACTAAAATCAGAGTGTCTGCTTTGATAAGATACCTTAATGTCTTCTAATCTGATTCTATTCGAGTTGAAGCATAATCATATCATTTTCTTTCCCTCTATTTACAGGATGTAGTCTTTGCTTTGGCTCATGCCACTGGCAAGGTGGGACGTTTCACCTTAATTGAACGATGGCGAAATAATGAACGTCTTTTGGCTCCCAACGAAAATCCACTTAAGCTGCTACTCAAATGGGGTGAATATGCAAATGATGTGCAGTTTATATTGCAACGTTCAGAAAGTAAGCAACAACAGCAGCAACAACAACATGTTTCCTCTAAACACGAAATACAACAGCAAAATAATAATAATAACCACAACAACACTAACAACAATGAAAACACAACTGTGATGTCCAACAAAAAATCATTGGGATTAAGCAATAATAGCCAGCATGTAATTGATAAACAAAATAATAACAACAACAATAATACTACTACTAACCATACAATTGTTGAAAATGCATTAAATGCAACAACAACGACAACATCTACAGCTAATGCTACAACAACACCTCAACAACAAACCCAAACGCATCAAAAACCCCTAACTATGGAACTGAGCTTAAATGCCGCCCATGAAAGGGCCAAGGAATTGAAAAAGAGTTTTGGGTAAGTGAACCACAAAACTGAAACAGACAGAGTGTTAACACAAATTCTAATATTTTACATTACTGTTTTTTTTTTCAGGGTGCATGATGCCAAAAGTTTTGACAACATTGGCATAGTTAAGGGTGTACCACAACGTAACAAAAGTAATCTCAACAATACACAGCCCAATATGGCAGCTACAACCTCAAGTTCGGCAATAATTCCACGCCATGAAAAATCTCATTCAAATCCCATAGAAATGCCTTCATCCGCTGGCGGAAATAATGGTGGCAAAGGAAATGGTGCTTATCACGAGTTCAATAATAACAACAACAATAATAATAATACATCTAATAATATCTATCAACAATTGGGTGCTCATAATAGTAAATCAATAAATGAAATTAATTTGGCTGAAGTTCGTAATGCATTGGATCGCCGAACTATGGCATTAAGCAGCAGCAGCAATAATCATCAGGCGGCAACAGCAACAGGCAATAATCATACAAGCAATAACTCAGGAATACAACCAATGGGTGGTAGTGCTGAAATAATATTCACCTCAAATTTTACATCATCACCATCGCCGAACAGCAACCACAACAATTCACATGCAATGTCTACCAATGCTGCTGGAGGTGGTGGTGGTGGTGGTAGCAATGAAAATCTCTTAGATATCTATAATGGAAATAGTAAATTTGCACAGGCTCCAGCTATATCGGCAAATGGTGCATTAGTACCGCCACCATATAGAGATCCACCACCTCCACGCAACAGTCCATTGCAGCAGCCATCAAATGTAAATGCTTCAAATGCATTATATTCCAATCAACCAATTCAACAGCCAACGACAGCATCTGGATCAGCTGCTGCTGCTGTTGCAACGTATCAAAATCAATCTCAAGATTATGATTTTGTTGATTATCAACAAATAAATGATTTGGTATTGCCCGTTAGCATGGATGAGAGTGAAAGTATTTTCCAGGCGACACAATATAATGATCTATTGCAATTGATTAAATTCCAAAGGGAGAAAATTAATCAACAACAAATGGAATTGACAAAGGTATGTATACACAAGTAATTAATATAATTTATAAAGTTTTTTGTTGGTATTTTTTGAGAGAATTCCCAAAAAGAAGACTACAAAGGTTTAGTTTATATAAGAACGCTAGAAGGTATTATTTTAGAAAAAAGAAGAAGATATTGCTTCGTAGTAAAAGCCCAGAAAGTATTAATACGCAGAGGATCAAAAGCAAAAGGTTTCCAGTTTCTTTCCCTATTCTATAAGAGATCTTGGTCCATAGTAGGAAGGCATCTTTGTCTTCTATAGATTAATATAGGAATGCCTCCTATTTTTTATATGAAATAATAACATTGTTTTAATTGTTTTTTTTTTCTTTTTAAATTTTTAGTACGATGCCGAAATTGTTTATTTGGAATCCAAAGAACGAGATCAGGCTCAGGAATTGGAGGCCATATCCAGGGAGATATCAAAAGCTGATCAATTGTTTAGACAAGGAAGTGAACAGGTAAGTGGTTCGTTCTTTCACAGAGAAAACTAGTAAATTTCAATCGTTTCCTATGATCCGTAATAGTCCGAGTCTTATTAATTGGACACCAACTTTCACCGTCGTCCATTATGTTAAAACAATAGAAGAGCTGCTAAAATGTTATTTTAATTATTGTTTTGTCTTTTCTTTCTTCAATTAGCTCCTAACCTTACAATATGTCGAAGAAGAAAACGAATTGGTTAAGCAACAGGAGAAAACTTTAAAGTCAGAAATTGCATTGTTACGTTCTAAATTGGCCAATTGTGAAACGGAGCTATTGCAGTGTAAAAATAAAATACGCCTGCTAATGGATGATATTGAAATTGAACAGCGTGCAAATTCCAAACAGAATATGAGGTAAATCGAACAGCCACAAATATTGTATGAACAAGGAAAATTAAATTTAAATTAAATTATTTTATTTTTTTTTAATTAACAGACAAAATGTTGAACGTGATTTCTTAATGGAAATGGAACGTATACAAAGTGAAATAGATCAGGCCATACACAATACGGACACGTCGAATAAAACTGCTGAAAGTTTGAAAAAAGAAATTCTATTAATTGAAAATGCAATACAAGAAAAGAAGAGACAGGTGAGTGAAGGAGAAAAAAGTCAATTGACTATAATGCTTTCTATAAGAATACCTACTGAATTTCTATAGGAAGATCTTTTGAATTGAATAAGAAGGCTTATCGGCCTCCTATATGGTATCGGATATGTTGACAAATATCTCCTGCTCTTCTCTAAGAAGACCTCTTGGTATTTTATAAGAATACCTATTGGCTTTCAATAATAAGACCTTCACGAAAATTATGATCACTACTAACGGTACTCCCCTATAAACAATATGTTGGATATTTCAGACATTTCATTTTCCGAACCGAAATTACTTTAATTAAATATTTTGGATTCTCCTACAAAAATTGTAAATATCGGTCGATACATCTAAATATTCAGCTCCATATATATGTATTTTGATGGTCCTAGGCACAAATTTCCAAGTGACCATATGTTGATATGCTCTTTTCGAAATTGAACTAACTGAAATTGTTTTTATTTCTTTTTTATTTAAAGGTGGAGCAATTGGTTAATGAAATGAAAGAAGTTAATTTGCAGAGTTTAACGGTAACTACTTCCGAGGAAATTAAACATTTTTTAGAAGGTAAGTTTGTGGTTTTTATGATTTCAAAATATTTATTATGTAATTTTTATTCATTTAGCTAAGATATATATTTTTTATTTCTTAATGCTAACTTTTGGAATTATTTTATTTGTATAAATTAATTCATTCATTTATATATATTTTGTTTAAATTTGCAGGTTCCAATAAACCTGGCAGCAGTCGCCGTATTATCGGTTCTCCAAGGCAATTGGAAAATGCCGTACCCACAAGTAAAAATCCACATGGTGTATGGGTTTAAATGTTGATGCCTGGAACATTTGTTTTTTCAACCATTTAATGTTCATAGCAATATTCCCAACAACAGGTGGTATCTAATTTACGTATTTATTACTATGCCCGAGAAACAAAAAACAATACTTAAACGTTACTTTTTACGCTACAACATACAGTAATATTCCATATCTTTAAGAACACAAATTTAACTTATTTATTAACTAAACCTTTTTAAAACAAAACAATAACAATATTTAAACCATATCATTGTGGGAACAACTAAAATCAAATGAAACTAGAAGGAAAGAAATAAGAAAACCGCTAACACAAAATGGAAACATATCACATTTAAGTGTACTAGTTTCTAAAAGAAAGCCGAACGCCCCCTAAACACGCATATAGAAATGTTAGACAAATATAGTTAAACGGTTCTTTTTTTGAAGAATTTAGTCAGAAAAAAAAACTACTTGGAAATATTTAGGGAATTTAGATAAACTAAAAAATGGTTTTTGTTCTGCCCCACTCCTCATATACTAATACCTAATAATCTTGATAAATTATCTCAAACATGTTTATATTTATAAAATAACAAAAACCATTGTATTTCAAATTTTTATACCACAAAGGTTAGGTTTCCACATGATTTAGAATCTTACCACACATTGTCTTACCATTCCTAACAGAGCCCTAATTTTTTTATACAAATCCATATTCATCTTAGAGAAGTTCAGAATCCATAAATTTTTAACATTCCAGGAGGATATTTCTATACCCTCTACCATGAGGGGTAGTGTATATTAAATATGTCATTCCGTTTGCAATACCTCGAAATATTTGTCGGGAACCCCCACAAGGTATATATTTATACAATAATTAATATTTTCCACATATTAAAATTTATATTAAATTGAATTTGTTTAATTTTGATTTTTATTCAACAATAACATATATACAAAGCTTTCAGGCAGAATAAGAGCATACATTATGCTTAACAAATTTATCATTCCGTATGCAATATTTCGAAATATTTGTTAGAGGCCCCGAAATATTCTTGATATTTCAGTCACTTTTTTTATCCGAAAATATATTTTTTGGTTTCTCATTGGTTTTCCATGCCAAAAATTATTAAGATCGGTCCATGTTTAGTCGTCTCCGATATTCTGAGGATTACTGCCACGAATTGCATCCGAAAAGGTTGGAATTTTAAATTTTGCGTTCTCATTGGTTAAGAAATCTTCCTGCAAAAAAATTATCAATATCGGTCCATGTTTTGGTAAAGCTTCAATATTACGGCGGCCCCAGATTTTCGGTATGTTGAGGTGTCACAGATCACCTTTTCATCCGAACAGACTGTAATTGACATTTTTGGTTCTCAAATGGTTGAGAAAATTTCCTGCCAAATATTATCAATATCGGTTCAAGTATAGGTAAAATTAAATTACGGTGTGGGAGCATTTCAGACTCGAGTTAGAAAGGCATTGTTTGGCAAACTTCCTATCACAATATTCGGTAGTTGGATTAATTCACACACGTTTTCACGCGAAAATGATTGGATTTGATATTTTGAGTTCTCGTTGAATGACAATTTTTCATACAAAAAATTATCAATATTGGCCGATGTTTAAGTACAGCTTCAATATTACGGTGGCCTCCTATTTTCGGCATTTTGAAGATTTAAGACACGGGTTTCAGACGAAAAGGCTTCAATATCCAATATCGACCCATTTTTGAGTATAGCCGCCATATAAAGGCTCCCCAATTGTATGTATTTTTATGGCTCTAGGCTGATTTTTTTGGCTGTAATTTGACATTCCGTTACTTAGGTGGAATTTTGCACTTTCGTGGTGGGTAAAAAAATTAATTTGCGGAAATTTTGAATATTGGTCCATGTTTGACATAACCCTCATATAAAGACCTCGAACATTTTAAATGTTCGAACCAAATTCCAACCCGAGTGCCTGTAATTTGGTATTTCATCAGGATAAGAAATTCCTTATAGGTAATTGAAAACTGACCGATTTTATGTATTTGAAATGCCCATCTCATGCTGGAGGGTATAAGAAGTTAAGCCTGCCCGAACTTTACGATGTTTTTACTTGAGATACTACTATATATTTTCCTCTATAAGAGTACTTAATTTATGAGCATAACCTTTAATGCAAAATTTAATTTTTTTCTAACCTAACTTTTGCATAAATTATTAAATTTTATATAATTTTTTTTTTTTAATTGTAACTATTACTAGTAAACAACTCATAACATTGCCAGCTTTAGTCTTTTTAAACAAAAATAGAATTTCTTGAAAAAAGCTTTTAATCTCAACACAAAAGTGTTTCAAATTTAATTTAAATTTTTTTTAAATTTAATTTTAATCATGTAGTTATAAAACTTTTTACAGGTGCATTATATTATAATGAAAAAAAAACAGCAACAAAAACACGATACTGCTATAGTTTTGTTTATATTAATTTAATAATTATTATTACTATTTTTACAAAAAATTCTTTTTTATCTAGTCTTTAATTTTTTTTGTATAATTTTTAATTTCTCAAAAGAACGGAAAATCTCCAAAAATTATTAAAATCTATTATTTTATATATATTTCATAAAATTAATAAAAAAACAACTCACTACCAATCTCACATTTAATTGCCATTATGCTTTAATTATTTATATTGAAATAGTTTGTATATTATTTTTAAAATAAATAAAAATATAAAAACACAACAATGCAATAAAGTATCTGTAAAACACATTGCCTTTATTTTTTTGCTAGAAATTAAATAAAAATTATTATTATAAAAATATATATAATATATTTAGTATTAGTACGATTTTTGTAGCCTGTTTTTTTGTAATAATTTCGATATATATATTATTTAAAAAGTATTGTTAATTATTGTTAAGTTAAACAAAAAAATCAAGATTTAAATATTATGTTTTTTTATAAGCAAAAGAAAAACTTAAAAAAGTACAATTTAAATTGTTTGGCATTTAAAAATTACAATGGGTTTCTTTATATATAAAATAATAAGATAAACAAAAAAACACCATTATTGTATTAACACACAATATTGAATAAGTATACAATTAAATAAACAACAACATGTTTCTTTATTAAAAATTACAATTCCTTATAAGCAATGTTTTTCCCCTAAAAGAAAGAAAAAAAATCAATATCTTTAACTTTTTAAAAAAGAACAAAATATATATGCATATTAATTATTTAATTATTGAAAATTGTTAAACAAAAAACATATAGAATAATAATAATGTAATTTCTTCCTTCCCACTCCTCTATTAGTTTTAGTAATATTTGTAGTCCTCCTTTTCTCCACTCCTCTCCAATTATAGAAACATTTGTCAACTACTTTGTTTTGGGATTTTAAATTATTATTATCTCCTATAAAAAATCAATGAAATATATCGTTACTACTATTATATATACAATTCGTATGCACCATTTAATTAGTTATTTTTTTAAATTGATTAATTAATAATGCTTCAAACAAACAATAGCTATGAATATTGTATTTCAAATCAAATTTAGATATAAAATATATATGAAACATATTTCAATTTAGTGCAAATTTCTTTAAATGAAATATTAAAAAAATAAATAAAAATTAAAATGCTTAACAATGCAATTTATAAGCAAACCTAGCTAAAGCATAACAAAAAAATCCCTAAATATTTTTCAATTAAAAAAAAATGTATGAAAGGTAATGTAAATGGATTTTAGTTTTTAATTATAAAAAATTATATGTTATTTATTATTGGTATCTCTGATTGGTCTTCATTTTTATACCATTCCGATACAATATATTCGCATCATCAAAGTTTTTCTAGCCATAGAAATACTCATTGGTCTCTTATATACAAGAGAACTCCAATATCTTCAAGGCATAGAAAACTCCTTATTGGTTTCCAATTTAAATCACCTTCAAGCCCCCAGAAAACCTCATTGATGTTCTAACCATTGGATTCTTAATAGGTGTTTTAGCCTTCAAGTTCCAGTTCACTACTTTAGTCTTCTAGACATAGATGATCCCATTTGTGTCCAAGATGTAGATAAAATAATCGATATTCTGGCACTACAAGACCCTATTCAAGGCCTTATAGGTGTCAAATCTACAGAACACTTCGGTGGTCCAGATCAGACATAATTGATGACCTAGTGACAGAATACCTTATATAATCTGGCCGTAGAAGAATTCATCCGCATCTAACCGTAGAAGCCCGGTATTGTAACGCATTTATACTTATACGCCTTCTAACCAAGGAAGTTTTAAATTCCTTATCCATATTATACCCTTCACCACACTGTGGAACAGGGTATTCTGTCTCTGTGCATATATTTGTAACATGCAAAAGGAAACGAGATAGACACATGGTTCCTTTTGAGAATATGCATAGAATCACTTTCTGAGTCGATTTATGCATGTCCGTCCGTCTGTAGATGTATATTTGTAAACAAAGTACAGGTCGCATTTATGATCCGATTTGCATTAAATTTGGCACGATTTGGACGATTTTTGGCATAGCGTACTGAATTAAGTCTAGCATGGTGTGTGCTAAGTTTCGTGAAAATCGATTCAGGTTTAGATATAGCTTCCATATATATTTTCGTCCGATTTAATGTAAATGGTGCACCAAAGTCCCTATTTACGAAATTTGGCATAGGGTACTGAATTAGGTCCAGAATGATGTGGGCTAAGTTTCGTGAAAATCGGTTCAGATTTAGATATAGCTCCTGTATATAGTTTTGTCCGAATTTTATGTAAATTGTTCCCCGAAGTCCCTATACAAATTTCGATTTGCACGAAATTTTGTATAGTGTACTGAATTGGGTCTTGAATGATGTGTGTCAAGTTTCGAAAATATCGGGTCAGATTAAGATATAGCTCCCGTATATATTTTCGTCCGATTTAATGTAAATGGTCCACCAAAGTCCTTATATATCTTTCGATTTGCACGAAATTTGGCACAGCATAATGAATTAGGTCTAGAATGATGGTGTTAAGT